GTCTCAAGCGCAAGGTCATCCCTGCGATGCCTGTCATCCCCTGCACCACTGACAATGAGCACAGGCAAAAGGAGCAAGAACTTAAGCATGTTTCCTCCCTTGCCGGTCTTGAAGACCTTGCAGTCGCACTAGAGGGCGATGAAAAGGCCCATGAACTTCTCACAGAGATAGTCGACCTGAACGCCCTAATATGCCAAGTCTGCGACCTTCCTAAATCCCCATCTAGTGCCCCCGAGGTGAATGCCTTAGTCACAAAGCTCTTGTCCAGGGCCGAAATGCTCGCTTCACCGCAAGCGCTAGAAGCAATTCGCGCCGAAGCAGACGGCCTAAGAGCAGTTCCCGTATGGGACGAGACAAATCCTCGGGAGTACCGGGATGTCCAGTCCGAGGCCCGCCGCACTGGAGCAAAGGTACACTTCGGCAAGCTAATGAGCATTGCGTCCATTAAGTTTTGGGAGCTTGCTCAGCACCTTCAAAAGATGAAGGGCCGTATTGTGTACCGCGGCGATTGCGCTAAGGACGAAGAGGGTGCTGCCGCCGTGTACAGAGAGCTTGGGGCCAACCCTACCTCTGTACAGGGTCTTAATGCCTGCTTGGCATATGGCGCACTACCCGGCAATCAGTCCTCGGCAGCCGACGCCATCAAGGCTTACGTTCAGGCACTCCTAAAATCCAAGTTCCAGACTTGGATAGAGTTGCCACCAGAACTCCGCCCTACATGGTGGCGCGAGCGCTTCGTCCGCCCGGTCGTGCTGCTGCTAAGGGCGCTGTACGGACATCCCGAAGCCGGTGGTCTGTGGGAGAAACATCTTAAGGAGGTTCTTCAGGGTTTGGGGGGTTACGAGCTCCAAGAGTACCCCGGCAACTTCTGGTTCCCAGAGACTCAATTGTTGCTTTCAACATACGTCGACGACCTGACGTTGTCAGGACCACAAGAGCATCACCAACCCTTCTGGGAGAAGCTCTGTTCCCTCGTTGACGTTGAACCTCCCGAGCCAGTATATAGGATCCTTGGTCGCAATCATTATGTCATCAACGCACCAGCCGAGAGTTCAGAGAACGCTGCCCTAGGCGCGTTAAAAGGAGCCGTTGTTCTCGACATGTATGATTATGCGCAACAGACCGTAGATCTTTACACTGGCATCACCGGTACAAAGAGCCTCAAAGCCGCCCAAACACCGTTCTGTCCAGAAGGAAGCCTTGTCCCTTCAGACGACGAAGTCACGGGCGAGCTCGCTCCAAATGCTTGCAAAATCCTCATGAAGGCTCTGTGGCTTGGCAGGCTAGCAAGGCCTGACATCATCAAGCCCATAGGAGATCTGGCAACACGGGTTCAGTCCTGGACGCGTAACAACGACAAGCAACTCCATCGCTTGATCTGTTACATCAATTCCACCAAAACCCATCGGTTGGTCGGAACCGTCCAGGACAACCCAGGGGAGCTGCATCTTGCGCTCTACGTTGATGCCGATTTCGCTGGGGAAAAAGTGGATGCCAAGTCCACTTCAGGGGGGTACCTTGTCCTCAAAGGTCCTAACTCCTTCTTTCCTTTGGCATGGGTTTGCAAGCGACAGACGTCAACTTCACGAAGCACTACTGAGTCAGAGATAGTGAGCTTAGCACACTCGCTCTTCTCCGAAGGCCTCCCGGCATTGCAACTCTGGCAAACCCTCCTGGGCCAGGATGGCATAAGGCTTGTCATCCACGAAGACAACCAAGCCACCATCATAGTAGCTAAGAAAGGTTATTCCCCTAAGCTAAGGCACATCCAGCGTACCCATAAGGTCAACCTGGGTAGCATTGCCGAACAGCTTGACCAGGAAGACGTTGAGCTAACTTACGTTGACACAAATCTGCAAGCCGCAGATATCTTCACCAAAGCTCTTCCTCCTAACAAATGGGATAATGCCCTTAAGCTACTAGGCATAAGACAAAAGTTGCCAGAGGTCCTTGTCGACATAAGGGACTTGCACTTGAAGCCTGGGTCTGGCCCAAAGACTCAGCATGCACAGGGTGCTGCCGCTGGCGCACCATGTACATAGAGCATGTTTTTCCAGTGGTTCTTTCCATTGGAGAATTTAAGAAGACAAGTCAGAGGAAGGTGTAGTCTCAACGGGCACCCTCCGGGAAGACTCCGGAGAGGGGGGAGTTAAAAGAACACGACTCCCGAGCCCCCTTCAGGGTAGCCCTTAGCAACCTGTAAGACTAGTGTGTCTCACTTGCCCAGGTCCGACTTCACCGACATCTTTGGCTCAAGACGGAAAAGACACAGTCTTGTAGTGAAGCCCCTTTCTGTTCAGGTTGGGTTGAGGTTTCGTCTGTTGCCTCTTCCCTTGGGATCACCTCCCTCCTGTGTTTGGGGCTCACTTAACTATCTAAGGGTGGTTGGCATGGTCCCTTGCTTTCGCGAGGCACCTGCAGCCGGAGTTCGGCGAGTTCGGGCATGTGCTGAGGCTTGGGATAGGATCCCGAAGCCTTTCAAGGGTGCAGGGCTGGGGTT